CTCTTGGCCTGCCAAAGTGCAAGGAGTACAGGCAAGGCTCACCACACCCAGCTAATACTTTCTTGGATTAAGAAATCTGTTCTACTTCTACTTTACTATGAGTTTTTGTCATGACTGGATGTTGAAGTCTAATATCTTTTCAGCATCTGTTGAAATTGTAATGTGATTTTTTTCTCCTTAATTTTGTTAATGTGAATGACATTGAGCAATTGACATGTGAGAACAACTTTGAATTTCAACTTAATTTGTGATGTATTATTCTTTTTTATGTCACTGTATTCTTTTTGCTAATATTTTGTTTAGGGATTTTGCATCTGTTCATAAGACAAAATGGACTACAATTTTAATATTTTGAATGTCCTCATCAGATTCTGATAGGATATACTAGCTTTATAAAACCAGTTGGAAATGTTCCTTATTTTTAGTTCTCTGGAAGAGATTGTGTAAGATTGTTGTTTTAGATTCTTCCTTAAATGTTTGGAAGAATTCACAGTGAAGCAATAGCTGCCTGGAAATTTCTTTGTGAGAAAGTTTTAAAGATTCCATGTATTTATTAGATACAGGATCATTTAGATTTTTTGTTTCTTCTTCTGTTAGTTTTGATACATTGTACCTTTCTAGAAATTTGAGTCTTTCATCTAAACTGTCAAATTTATTGGTATAAAGTTTCTTTATTATGTTTTTAATATCTTATAAATCTCTGTGGATCCTGTCCTGATGTCACCTTTACTATTCTTGATGTTGACAATATGTGCTTCTCTCTTACCTTGATTTGTCTTGCTAGAGGACCATCCATTTTTTTATTAAATTCTGTTTTCTTTATTATTTCTTTCTGTCTCCATTGGGTTTAATTTGGTATTTTTCTAATTTCCTGAGATTGATAATTGATGCATATATGTATATTTCCTTATAAATGTGGTTTAGTTGCATCCTGTAAGTTGTAATTCATATTTGCATTATTTCAAAATATTTTCTAATGCCCAGTATATGGTCAGTTTTGGTAAAAGGTCTTTGTGCACTTAAAAATAATACATATTCTGCCCTTGTTGAGTATATAGTTCTAAGTATGTAAGTTAGGACAAATTTGTTTATTGGGTTGTTGAGATTGTCCCTTTTCCTAATATTTTGATTTCTGAGTCATTAAGAGTGACATGTTGATTTGCCTATTTTTTCATTTCATTCTCTCACTTTTAACTTTTATACATTTTGAAATTATGTGCATACAAATGGAAATGTATTATACGTTTCTGGAAATTGACCCTTTTGTCAATGTGAAATATCTTGAAGTCTGTTTTCTCTAATATTGTATTATTATTTTGATGTTAGTATGGGTATACCAGCTTTCTTTTATATAATATATTATTTTTCATTCATTTTGAATATTTCAGTGTCTATATTTTTGGTATTTCTTTTCGAAGTGGTATTTAGTCACTTTTTTTTTTCCAGTCTCAAAAGTTTAGTTTTTTAATTTGATTTAGGTCAGTTACTAATATGTGTGGGATCTGATATCTATCTTGTTATTTTCTATTTTACTCATCTATTTTAAATCTTTTGTCTTTCTTCTTGCCTTGTCTTGGATTAATTATTTTTATTGTGCCATTTTTACCCTTGTAATTTACCTTCTCAGGTCTTTTAGTGGTAAGTATAATAAGTAAAACAAGTATAAGTTTATAATATAATAAGTATATATAAAATAAGAATTACTGTCCAAAATAAATTTCTACCTTTATTTATTCCCAGACAATATTAGTACCTAAAAACATTAACAGCATTTTCTTCCTTTTTCCTTTTGTTTTCTTTTTGCTATGTATTTTTGCGATGTATTTTAATTCTACTTATATGTTCAGTACCTCAAGACATTAAAATTATTGTTTTGTACAATCAAGAATATTTTTATTTATCCACATATGTACTTTTTCCATTGCTTTTCATTCCTTCTAACATTGCCATATTTCCACCTGGAATTATTTTTATTCTGCCCAGAACATTCCTGGTTTTTTTTTTTTTTTCTTTCTTATATTGGTCTGCTGGATAATACAATCTCTGTTTTTATTTGTATGGAAATAACTATTTCCTGTTTACCTTTTTAGAAATATTTTCTGTTTCTGTTGAATTCTAGTTTGGCAATTAGGTTATTTCAACACCTTAGAAATTAGTTCATCACCTTAGAAATTATTTCATTTTCTGTATTCTACTGTTTTCATTGAAAAGACACTGTTAGTTTTATTTTTGCTATTTTAAAGGTAATGTATTTTTTTTTCAAGCAACTTTCAATACAGTTTAGTAGTTAATGCTATGGTTTCAGTAGTTATATTATGATGTGCCCAGGTGATTTTTCTTTGTATTTATCCTACTTGGAGTTTATAATGCTGCTCAGATTTCATTTTTCAGCCTTTCTCTCTTCAAACAATGTTTTTGTCACATTCTTTTACTACTCCCATTCTATAACTCCAGTCACACATATATTTGACTTTTTCACCGTGTTCCATATGCCTCTTTTTAATATTTTTCTCCATGTTTTACTATGGCTATTTTCTGATTATATATTTTTCTAGTTCACTGTTTCTCTCTTCCACTATGTTTAGTATACTATTAAAAATCTATTTAGTTCATAACTTCAATTATTATATTTTTTAGTTCTAGAATTTTTATTTCATTCTTTTGTTCTAATTATCTGTTGTAATTCTTATTATTTTCTGTTTTCTCAAACATTAATCACAGTTATTTTGAAGTCCACATATGCTATTAATAACTCTGATATCTGGGTTCTACGGTTCTTTTTCTGTTATCTGTTTTTCCTCTTCATACAGTATCTAAGCACTCCTCGTATATTGTAATTAAATCCCTGACATTATTTGTGGAGGAGTACAGAGGCTCTAGATGTTATTTTTCTTCAAAGAAGATTTGCCTTTTCCTCTGGTAGGTAGTTAGAGTGTGAGCAAACCATCTTAATCCAACGAGGCACTGTAACAGCTGGAGGTTGGGTCACAGTTTATAAAGCTTTGTCAACCTCGTGTTTGTCCTTACTGTGAGGTTGTGGCCCTGTGGGGGTCCTGATGGATAGCTTCACATGTTTACTGTGACCCCTCCTCCTTGGAAAGTCCTGAACTTCAATTTTTAGCTCCATAGTAACAAGAAACTATAGATAATTTGTATTTCCACTTAACTTTGCTCTCAAATGTCAGACTATCAAGTCTGCTTCAGGTAATATCTCATGTCTTCAGACAGATATCTTATTTCAATTCAGATTTTCTAGATGTTCTGTAGAATTGGCTACTCTACCTTGGCCAGAAGTGAAAGTTAGTACTTAATATTTTGAGATTTGACAATACTGATGTTTAACTTTGATCATCCTTTGTTTAGAGCAAGGATATATTATTCTGAGCTCAACAAGATAGTAGCTGTAAAATGTACTTGCTTACCTTTCCAGATAGGTAAAAGGGTTTTGGCTTTTTTTTTTTTCTTTTTCTTTTTCGTAGCTCTTTGTAGAAGATTTTCTGGAGTGAGTGGGAAAGGAAACTGATGAGGAAGGCTTGTTCTTGTTAGGCTTTCTGAGAAAATTTTCTATCATCTTTGTTTAGAACCTAGTCCACAGTATTACATTTCTTAGTACAAAGTCTTAAATAGACTTTATTGACTTTAGTTAAAAGGAAGATATTCACAAGTATGTATGGAACACTAATATGCAATCTAGAATTCTGGTTGGTAATATCAAGGTACCCATGAAATCAAGTCAGAAATTTGTTGAGTAAGTGTGGAATTTTTGTTTGGGGAGAGGAATCATTTTATCAGATAATTCATTAGACCATGGCTCCTGTCCCAGCAGCAGAGTCCCCTTTCTTAAGACCAGTATACTCCTTTCCCCAGATTTACAACCGCTTCTTGCTAGACATACTGGATACATCCTGGCAGATAAGCTTCTTTGTTCTTAGTTTTCTATTCCTATTTATATGTCCTCATGATACATTTTCCTCATATAGCTGTCACATTATTCATATGGGTTTGGAGACATTGCTTCCTCATAGCAATAGGAGGTCCTTATTTTATTAGTAGATACAAGCATATCACACAGTCTTTGCAGCAGCCTAGCTTTTTATTGACCATCTGAATGCTCTACTTAGTCTATAAAACATAAAAATATTGGTTTTAGTAGTTACTTTTGAATTGAGGATTTACTCCCTACCAAGTGTTGATCTCTAGTTTCAATGGTTTCTTAAGGCCACAACTGGGTTGTCTTAAAGATGATATCACTAGAATAGACAGGGTGCATGTTTTTTCTTATCCGTTAGCATAGTGTGGTGTGTATCAGGTTTTTGTTTTTTTCTTTTTTCTTTTTTTTTTTTTTTTGAGACAGAGTCTCGCTTTGTTGCCCAGGCTAGAGTGAGTGCCGTGGCGTCAGCCTAGCTCACAGCAACCTCAAACTCCTGGGCTCGAGTGATCCTTCTGCCTCAGCCTCCCGGGTAGCTGGGACTACAGGCATGCGCCACCATGCCCGGCTAATTTTATATATATATATATCAGTTGACCAATTAATTTCTTTCTATTTATAGTAGAGACGGGGTCTCACTCTTGCTCAGGCTGGTTTTGAACTCCTGACCTTGAGCAATCCGCCCGCCTCGGCCTCCCAAGAGCTAGGATTACAGGCGTGAGCCACAGCGCCTGGCCTGTTTTTTTCTTTTCTTTTTTTTTTTTTTTTTGAGGCTTAGACAAGTAACTTCTCTATGATCACAAAGAAAATAAATGTGTTGTACTTAGGATTCTAGCTCAAGTCTACGACTTCTGAGATCATGCTTCCAAGTGCTCCTGCTTCATGCATTGTACATTAGATCAACCACTGCTACAGTCACTTCTCTTCCTCTTTCGTTTCTTGTCTTCACTTCAAGAAATCTTCAAAACTGCTACCTCTTTGTTAGTGTTAGTAACACATTTAACATTTGTCAAATCCCATCTAGATATTTTATTAGGATAAAACAGACATTTTTATTTTTAATGTCTTTCAGACTGGATGACTGTGCCTATGAGTAAGAAATCTACTCTCAAGGAAGATATCCCTGAAGAAGAATTGGATCACTGGATAATAAAGGAAAGATTCAGTAGAGATAGTGACTGGACTTGTGCTGGCTTGTTGGACTGGCAGTGTGGAGACCAGGAGACCAGTTTGCAACAAGTGGTACTTACTCACCAGAACACCCCAGCTGGGGTTAGTGAACAGGAATGTGATGGATCTGGGAAGGGCTGCATCATGAGCTCCTCTCTTGTTCAAAGTCAGGGATTTCAAACTAGCAAAAAAGCCTTTGAGTGCAGTGAGTGTGGAAAAGTCTTCTCTAAGAGTTCAACTCTTAATAAACATCAGAAAATTCATACTGAACAAAACACAAATCAGAAAACTCATATTAAAGAGAAACGATATGAATGTCGAGAATGTGGAAAAGCCTTTCACCAGAGTACACATCTCATCCATCACCAAAGAATTCACACTGGTGAGAAACCCTATGAATGCAAGGAATGTGGCAAGGCCTTCTCAGTGAGCTCCTCACTTACTTATCATCAGAAAATTCATACTGGAGAGAAGCCTTTTGAGTGCAACTTATGTGGAAAAGCTTTTATCCGAAACATACACCTTGCCCATCATCATAGAATACATACTGGAGAAAAACCTTTTAAATGTAACATTTGTGAAAAAGCCTTTGTGTGCAGGGCACATCTTACCAAACATCAGAATATTCATAGTGGAGAGAAACCCTATAAATGTAATGAATGTGGGAAAGCCTTTAATCAGAGTACAAGTTTTCTTCAGCATCAGAGAATTCACACTGGAGAGAAACCCTTTGAATGTAATGAATGTGGAAAGGCCTTCAGGGTGAACTCTTCTCTTACTGAACATCAGAGAATTCATACTGGAGAGAAACCTTATAAATGTAATGAATGTGGGAAAGCTTTCAGGGATAATTCATCCTTTGCACGACATCGGAAAATTCACACTGGAGAGAAACCTTACAGATGTGGTTTGTGTGAGAAAGCTTTCAGGGACCAATCAGCCCTAGCCCAACATCAGAGAATTCATACTGGGGAAAAACCTTATACGTGTAATATATGTGAAAAAGCCTTCAGTGACCATTCAGCCCTTACCCAACACAAGAGAATTCATACTAGAGAAAAACCTTACAAATGTAAAATTTGTGGAAAGGCTTTTATCCGAAGCACACACCTCACTCAACATCAGAGGATTCACACAGGAGAGAAACCCTATAAATGTAATAAATGTGGGAAAGCTTTTAACCAGACTGCAAACCTCATTCAGCATCAGAGGCATCATATTGGAGAAAAGTGATACAGATGCAGTTTTTGTGGAAGAGCTTTGAGACTGGATAAATTAATTATTGAACATAAGAGGACCCATTGTAGAGAATAACTATGAAAGCTTACATCAAGATAGTCATTTTATTTACTGAGAGTCAAGTTTCACAGTCTTGTGGGTTTTGAGAATTTAAGAATGTCAAATACTTCTCATTCTTTAGTACTGCCTCAAATGAATGGCAGTGCTGTTTGATTAGTCTGAATTACCAGTAAGTATCAGAACCAAAATGGAGCTTCATTAACAATGTAAAAATTGGCATATCAAATTACATTTTGACTATTAAGAGAAACTATAAAATTGTAAAAATTAAAATTGAAAGGCAAGGAACAAAAAAGTCAAATGGCCTACAAGCATTTCATGCTACTGGATTCTCTTATGTAAGAGAGTTGCCATCTGTAATGGAACCCTTAGTTCTCTCGTCACCCACACTCCTAACACCCAGTGTAAAGAAAGTGCAGCACCATGCAACAGCCCAGGAGTTATCTAAATTATGCTTCTCACCTTTTGCTTCAACCCATCTTTTGTCCGGTCTCTGATTTGTCCACTAGCATACTACCTGTCTTGTCCTTCTGGGATGGTTTGGTTGACTGATGTGATGCTCTTCTGACTTAGCAACTCCTAATTGTTAGCACTGGGTAACTTGTTGTGTCCCATTATCCTTGGGGGGTGTGGTGATCTGATCTCAGACTCATCCACGATTCTGGATAGTGCATCCAAATCTATCTTTCAGAACTTGGGATCGCTTTCTGGGAGGCAAAATTTGATCAAAATTCTTAGGTTACCTAACTCCTCTGGGCTCTGATTGGCTCTGACCCTGGGATGACCCCTAAAGTAGAGGCTTGGCTAATGTAGCCATTACCCTCAATAGTTCTGCACCGTAGTTACTCTACACACACCAGTCCGGGCTTGCTCAGCTGTGTGATGCTCCCACCTGCCTCGTGGCATTCCAGGCCACCTCCCCTTCTTTGACTTGCTATTTCCCTATGTGAGGTTGACATGAGATGAGAGCCCCAAGGCCACCTCTCAAAATGCTCTGACTGACTCTCTTTCCCTTGTCTGGACAGTGCTCTGTGTCCACTACATTAGAGTATATTTAGTATATTTGCTACTCCCAGATCATTGAGCTGCAGGATCCTGGCCCTTGCCTTGCTTTTGTCTAGATTTCTTAAGGTGTTGATTCTGTGTTCATAGGAAGGAAAGCAGAATTTCTGCTTTGCATTTGAAAGTGGTCATTTCCTCTCCTCTATCTGGGCATTCCGCTACTTGAAGACTCATTATGACACTGGTAAGCAACATGTTGAGTAATCCAATGGGTCAAAAAGTGGTCAGTAGTACCATTGACATTATCTGGCACAGACCATGTCCATGCTCGAAAGTTTGGGCAATACACTAGTCCTGCAGGTACAGTTTAGTCATATCTTCAGTCCTTCAGTGCTTTTGGTTGAAATCACAGAGACAAAATAACATCTGTGCACCTTCACAGCCTGTGGAGGCACTCTCCCCTTTCCCACAAGGGATAGAATCTGCGCTACTGCAAGCTGGAACATGCCACAGGATGAAGGTGGGAGAATAAATTGTCATTCTTGAAAACAAAGTAGTAGGTCCCTGGCCTGTGGGAGTGCTGTACATCAAATTGGGCAACCTGCTGGCCTTTCAAGGTGCTGTACCTGAGCTCCAAGTAATAGAAGAGGATATTCTATATCATGGTAGAACTCAGTGGACACCCAGTTGTAATGTAGACTTGGAAGTTACTTGGGATTATCTGTGCCCTGTGTTCACACGCAGCCTCACATGACTGGCAACCCCAGATTCCACAATAAACCTGAAAAGCCACGCTCACTCTGTAGATGTCTGCCTTCACTACTATCCATATAACCTCGAAATCCTAATAACTATCCCCTTACCATGAATACCTGAAAAGCACGTTTCGAAGCTGAGTTGGTTGGTTGTTTATTTTTAATGAATGCAGTTGAACCAGGGCCAAGACCTGCAGTCAGTTTAAGAGTCTTATTCATCTCAGTGACAGCTCCAGGAGCTGTTCCTCAAGCAGAATGACTGCTGTGTGAATGCCTTCCATCTGAGGTTACAGCCCACTTTCCTTGAGCTCATTTCCTGTCAGGTTTGGATCTCTGTGAAATTAGTCCTCTGGGATGCCTATTTACTCATCCCTGTCTGGGAAGGCAAAAAGTAAGTCACTGGCCTAATATGTATGTCTAGGCCGACTCAAATATATTTATGGTAACAGTGTTTGGCCAGACAGTGACTTTATTATATCCTACTATATGATTAACAGCTTATTATATGGCCTTCTCTACTAGGGAAGTGCACATTGTCTGGGTGCTAGTCATACTTTTCTCATCTGAAGTAGTGTGGCTCTGCCTGGGCATTCTAACTTGCCCTACCATCACCTTTGGCTCAACCCCTGAAAGAGAATTTTTGAGAACACTGAAATCTTTTCTGCCAGCTGACCCACACAGCATTAGACATTTCACTTATTGAAAGGGGTTTTTCACCACTCCATCCTCAGTGGTGTTAATTCTGAAACATCCAGTAATTCCTAGGACAAGCAGTTCAATCCATACCTTGCTTTTCTGTCCTGTTAATTGGCCACATAGACACTTCGACTGTGACAGAAGGTGAAGGACCACTGTTTGGGACCCTTTGGGGTTGCTGACTGCCAGCTTGCAATGTGCTGTCTTCAGCAGCCCCCTCCTCACACGTCCAGCCCATCTCTATTCCAGGGGGTGCACAAAGACTGCTCCCAGCACACAGCAACTGTGCCATGCAAAGGAGTGCTGAACTTACAGGTGACACCAGTGTCCCCACCCCTCATCAGGACTATAGAAAAAGGTAAGAACCAGAAAAGCTGATCCAGGAATTGCCTCCCACATTGGGGCATTCTTTGCATACTTCAGAACTACCCAGTGGGCACACCCATTGGAAGTGCTAGTTCTACTGTGCCCAGAGGAAAGGTTTGAGTGGGGGATTAGCATCTAGACTTTGATATTAACATATTCTTCATGTCTATGGGGTCCTGTGAACAGCCACTGAAACTGCCCGCTCTGTAGAGAAAAAAGTTGCTTCAAATTTCCACTTTCAAATTCTTCTAATCCTCTTATGTGAAATATTCCTCATCTCCAGCTGACTGACTGTTGCATCTGGGTTCTTTTTCCCTGTCCACTCACATCTGCCTAGCTTTGAAAGCAGCTTCTCTCTAAGGTGCTGCCTTCCTCCATATCCAGTGGCTGCTTTGAAGCCTGCAGCAGACTCAGGTTTCCAGGTTACTGTGCCTGAGCCTCAGAGTCTTGGAACAAAATAGCCCTCAACTGAATGCCTTTGTTAGAGAAAACAATTTACCCCAAACGTTCATCTGAGAACACCGTGGTCTCCATTTTTCTGATTCATCTGCTTTCCTTGTTCCCTTGCACTTTTCCCTGCCCTGGCATACACTCTGGGTTAGTTGGCAGAATAATGTGGAGACAGGAAGCTTTCCCACCTGCTCTATCTTGCAGTTGGTGGACTTGTTGGCACTCCTCAACTCTTGCTATATATATTTTTGGTAATATTTTTACTTTTAATATTTTATACCAGTTTGTGAAGGGGAAAAAAATACAAGGCTTGATTGTTTCTTATCACTCAAGGATTTCTCAGCTGTGCTAATGATCATTCTCTGCATGTTCTTACTTATAAGTTGGAGCTAAATAATTCATATATCATGCTGATGTCAGGGCTTTCAGTGTGCCCATCACCAGAATCGTGTATATTGTACACAAGAGGTAGACTTTTATCTTTCCCCTTCCCACCTCCCCCCTTCTTAGTTTTTAATGTCAATTTATACCATTTTATGACCATATATATCCCTTATTTAGCTCCAACTTATAAGTAAGAACATGCAGTATTTGTTTTTCCGTTCCTGAGATACTTTACTTAGGATAATGGTCTCCAGTTCCATCCAACTTGTTGCACAAGACATTATTTTATTTGTTATGATAGCAGAGTAGTATTCTATGGTGTATATATACCACAGTTTCTTTATCTACTCATCAGTTGATGGGCACTTAGGTTGGTTCCATAGCTTTGCAATTATAAATTGTGCTAGAATAAACATATGAGTGCATGGGGCCTTTTATATAATGACTTCTTTTCTTTTGGGCAGATACCCAGTAGTGGGATTGTTGGATCAAATGGTAGGTCTACTTTTAGTTCTATGAGAAATCTCCATATTGCCTTCCATAACAGTTGTACTAATTTACCTTACCACAAAGAATGTACAAGTATTCCCTTTTTACCACATCCACACCAACATTCATTGTTTTTTGACTTTTTAGTAACGGTGATTCTGACAGGGGCAAGGTAGTATCTTGTTTGGTTTTAATTTTCATTTCCTTGATGATTAGTAATGTTGGGCATGTTTTAATATGTTTGTTGGTCATTTGTGTATCTTCTTGTGAGATAAGAATCTTTTGCCCACTTAGTGATAGGGTTATTGTTTTTTGATGATTTAAGTTCTTTGTAGATTCTGGATATTAGTCCTTTGTTGAGTATACAGTGTGCAAATATTTTCTCTCATTCTGTAGGTTGTCTGTATACTCTGTTGATTATTTCCTTTGCTGTGCAGAAACTTTTTAGTCTAATTAAGTCTCATTTATTTATTTTTGTTGTTGCTGTATTTGCTTTTGGGATCTTACTCCTAAATTATTTGCCTACTAGTCCAATATCTAGAAGAATTTTTCCTATGTTTTCTTCTAGAATTTTTATGGTTTTAGGTTTTACATTTAAATCTTTAATCCATCTTGAGTTAACTTTTATATGTGGTGAGAGATAGGGTCCAGGTTAATTCTTCTGCATGTGACTATCCAGTTTTCCCCAGCACCATTTATTGAATGGGGCTTCCTTTCCCCAGTGTATGTTTTTGTCTGCTTGGTGAAAATCAGTTGGTCATAGCTATCTGATTTTATTTCTAGAGTCTCTATTCTATTCCATTGGTCTGTGTGTCTAATAATACCATGCTGTTTGGGTTACCATAGCCTTGTAGTATAATTTGAAGTCAGGTAATGTGATGCCTCCAGATTTATCATTTTTTAGTTTTTGGAGAAACGGTCTTGCTCTGTTGCCCAGGCATGAGGGCAGTGGCATCATCACAGCTCACTGCAACCTCAAATTCCTGGGCTCACGTGATCCTCCTGCCTCAGCTACCTAAGTAGTTAAGGATACAGGCACACACCACCATGCCCAGCTAGTTTTTTTTTTTTTTTGTATAGAGACAGGGTCTCACTAAGTTGTTCAGGCTAGTCTTGAACCAAACAATCCTCCCACTTTGGCCTCCCAAAGTGCTGGAATTACAGGTGTTAGCCACCACACCCAGCCCATATTTGTTCCTTTTGCTTAGGATTGCTTTGGCTTTTTGAGGTCTTTTTTGGTTCCATATAAAATTTAGGATTATTTTTTTCTAGGTCTGTGAAAAATGATGTTGGTATTTTGAAGGGAATTGCTTTGAATATGTAAATCACTTTGGGCAGTATAAACATCTTAATGTTGATTCCTCCAATCCATGAGCATGGGAGGTTTTTCCATTTGTTTATGTCATCAACAATTTCTTTCATCAGTGTTTTGTAGTTCTCCTTATAGAGATCTTTCACCTCGTTTTGGTTAAGTATATTCCTAGGTATTTTATTTTCTTTGCAACTACTGTAAATGATATTGAATTCTTGCTGTGACTTTCAGTATATGGAAATGCTACTGATTTGTGTACATTAATTTTGTAACCTGAAACTTTACTGAATTTATTTATCAATTCTAGCAGTTTTTGGTGGAAGCTTTAGGGTTTTCAAGATATAAGATGATATCATTGGCAAATATGGATAGTTTGACCTCCTCTTTTCCAATCTGGATTTTATTTATTTCTCTTGCCTGATTGCTCTGGCTAGGAATTCCAGGTAGTATGCTGAGTAGAAATGGTGACAGTGGGCATCCTTATCTTGTTCCGGTTCTTAGTGAGAATGCTTTCGGCTTTTCTTCATTCAGTATGATGTTGGCTGTGGGTTTTTCAAATATGGCTTTTATTATTTTGAAGTATGTTCATTCTATGCCTAGTTTATTGAGGTTTTTATCACGAAGGTGTGCTGGATTTTATTGAATGATTTTTCTGCATTTATTGAGATGATCATAAGGTCTTTGTTTTTCATTCTGTTTGTGTGATTAATCACATTTATCTATTTACATATATTGAACCATCCTTGCATCCCTGAGATGAAATCCACTTGCTCATGGTGAATTATCTTTTTGAGATGCTGTTGAATTCAGTTTGCTAGTATTTTGTTGAGGATTTTTGCATCTATGTTTATGAGGGATAATGTTCTATAGTTTCTTTTTTTGTTGTGTCCTTTCCTAGCTTTGGTATCATGATGATACTGGCTTTGTAGTATGAGTTAGGGAGGACTCTCTCCTTGGTTTTATGGAACATTTTCATAGGATAAGTACCAGTTCTTCTTTGTATGCCTGGTAGAACTCACCTGTGAATCTGTCTGGTCCTGGGCTTCTTTTGTTGGGAGATTTTTCTATTACTGTTTCAATCTCACTACTCATAATTGGTCTATTTGAGATTTCTATTTCTTCCTGATTTATGCTTGGGAGGTTTATATTTCCAAAAATTGATCCATTTCCACTAGATTTTCTAGTTTGTGTGCATAACGTTTTTCACGGTAGTCCCCTATGATATTTTTTTATTTCTGTGGAATCAGTTGTACTGTCTCCTTTTTCATTTCTGATTTGTTTATCTGAATCTTTTTTCTTCTATTCCTGGTTAATATAGCTAGTGGTCTATACATTTTGTTTACATTTTCAAATAACCAACTTTTCATTGCCTTGCTTCTTTTTGTTTGTTTGGTTGTTTCCATTTCATTTAGTTCTTCCTTGAGCTTTATTTATTTTCTTCTGCTAGCTTTTGGTTTGTTCCTTTTCATTACTTGAGGTGTGACATTAGGTTGTTAATTTGTGATCTTTCTGTCTTTTTGATGTAAGCATTTAAAGGTCCTAATTTCCCCCTTAGCACTGCTTTTTCTGGAATCTTATGTTATCTTTGTCATTCAGTTTCAAAAATATTGATTTCTATCTTAATTTCATCATGACCCAAGGATCAGTGACCCAGAGGTTAATTTCTATGACTTTATGTATACTTGAGAGTTCCTCTTGGAATTGATTTCTAGTTTTATTCCACTGTATTCTGAGAAGATAAATGGGATGATTGCTGAGACTTTTTTGTGGCCTAACATATGATCTGTCAATCTTGCAAAATGCCCCATGTGCTGATGAGAAGACTGTATATTCTGCAGTTTTGGGGTAGAACATTCTGTAAATGTATGCTAGGTCCATTTGTTCTGGTGTCCTGCTTAAGTCTAGTACTTCTTTTTTGACTTTCTGCCTCAATGATCTGTCCAGTTCTGTCAGTGGAGTGTTGAAGTCCCTGGCAATTACAATGCTGCTATTTATTTCTTTGCTTAGATCTAGTAGAATTATTCTATGAATCTGGGAACTACTTTCTTAGGTGCATATATATTTAGGAATGTTTTACCTTCTTGCTTAATTGTTCTCTTTATCATTATATAATGACCATCTTTGTCTTTTTTTTTTTACTATTGCTGATTTAAAGTATATCTTATCTGATATTCCCATGATATGTGAGATAATGTTCTATTCATCATTTTGACTAATACCCAGTTGCATTGTTTTCTCCCTTGTGTTACTGTTTTATAGGAGCTGTGATCTTTAACTTTTGGGTGTTTTTACATTGGTGTTTATCAATTGTTCTGTTCCATGTATCAAGCACTTTTAAGCATTTTCTGTAGGGCTGGTGTAGAAGTGATAAATCTCTTAGTATTTCCTTGTCTGGAAAAAAAAAGTTATTTCTCTTTCATTTATGAAACCTAATTTTGCAGGATACAAAATTCTTGGCTGCTAGGTATTCTGTTTAAGAAGATGAAAAATGAGACCCAATGCCTTCTTGGCTTGTAAGTTCTCTGCTGAGAGGTCTGCTGTTAGTCTGATGGGTTTTCTTTTGTAAGTTACTTGCTTTCATCTCTCAGCTTATAGGATTTTCTCCTTCATTTTGACTGTGGCCAGACTGATGACTATGTGCCTTGGTGATGTCCTATTTGCAGTGAAGCTTCCAAGTGTTTGGTGACCATCGTATATCTAGATATCTAAATCTCTAGTGATACCAGGAACATTTTCCTCAGTTATTCTCTCAAATTCATTTTCCATGCTTTTTACATTTTTTTCTTCTCCTTCAGGGATACTTATGATTCTTATATTAGCTCTCTTTGCATATTCCCATATTTCTCAAAGTTATTGTTCATTCTTCTTTATTCTTTTTTTTTTTTCTACATTTTTGACTGGATTAATTCAAAAGCTTTTTCTTCAAGCTCTGAAACTCTTTCTTCTGCTTGGTCTAGTCTGTTGTTACAATTATCTGCTATACTTTGAAATTCCCTATATGACTTTCATTTCTTTACGTTTTGCCATATCTTTTCTCGTGTTATTTGTCTCTTTAGGGAATTTTTCATTCATGTACCATATTATTTTGTTTGTTTGTTTCTTTGTCTTGATTTTCAACTTTCACATCTATCCCATTTATCTTACTTGCCATCCAAGTTCTGAATTCCATATCTGACATTTTGACAATTTCCTTTTGGTTGCAGTCTGTTGCTGGAGAACTATTGTGATCCTTTGGGAATGTCAAAATAGTTTTTTCTCATGCTTCTGGAATTATTTTGCTGGTTTCTTCTCAGCTGAAACCTCTTCTGTAAGCTTATAACAGGTTTGCAGTGCACCCCTTCCCCTCTGTTGGGAATTCTCCCACTCATTGAAGAGAAGAAGAGGTCTGGCACACTTGTGTCCCACTCAGGAAGACTGACCCAGCAGGAGAGAGGCAGATGCACTGATACCATTTAACACTGCTGCTATCTTGCACCTCACCCTTCCCCTCTTGTTGTCATGGGTGATCTGCATGCTGCAGAGTGAGTGATCACCCCTCCCAGTTTTGTCACTGGTGGCACTTGTCCCCTGGAGTGGCTTGAGCACTGTCCCACCCATGTCCACAGGTGGCAGCATTTGTTGGCCCACAGCAGCTTGAGCACTACCCCATCTATGTGCATGGGTGGCAGCGATTATTAGCCCACACTGGCTTGAGTGCTGCCCCACTCAGATCTGTGAGCAGCAGTGTTTGTTTGGCCCATAGTAGCTTGAGTGATACCCTGCCTAAGTCTGTGGGTGGTAGCATTTGTCAATCCATAGCAGCCAGAGTATATTATGTAATATACTCTGAAAAGACAAATGTATAAAAGATGTTTCTAAAATATTCTCAACATGGTAGCCAGAGTGGTCCTTTTAATTTGTCAGGCCATCTCATACCTCTTAAAATGCTCCAGTGTAACCCTCGAATGTCTCCTCATCTCACCTAGAATAAAATGAAGTCTATAATTATAATGGCCTACAGGGCCCCACAGGATATATATACTCCATTATGTCATGTAATGGTTAGTTTTATCTGTCAGCTGGCTAGGCTCTAGTACTGAGTTACTTAATCAAGCATTAATCTAGATATGAAGGTGTTTTATAGATGTGATTAATCTCTACAATCAGTTGACTTTAAGGGACATTAACCCCAATAATATGGGTAGGGCTTATCCAGTAAGTTGAAGGCCTTAGGAGAAAAAATCGTGTGTGTGTGTGTGTGTGTGTGTGTATTTCCCCTCTTGGTTCTGTTTCTCTGCAGAGCCCTCTCTACCTCTCCCAGGTTGCCTCCTTCCTTCACCTTGCTCCACCACACTAACTTCCTTGGTGGGTCCTCAAATGCACCAGGCAGGCCCCTGCCCCATGTCCTTGCACTCACCACTCCTCCTTCTGGACCCCCTTACCCAGATACCCCATGGCTAACTCCCCATCTCCTTCAGATGAAGCCCACACTGGACTACTCTTCAGAATTCCAGCTCCTCTATTCTCCTTACCCAGCTCTATTTTCTTTTGTCCACAGCACTTGTCACCTTCTAACATATGGTGTCATTTATTGACTTGTCTTGTATGTTGTTTATTGTTTATCTCTAGGATGTAAATCCCATGAAGGAAGCGGTCCTTGTCTGTCTTGTTCACCAATGCATCTCAGAGTCAGCGCAAGGATACCTGTGGGACTAATCGTGAATGAGCAGTCGGGGGGTCAGTGAGTAGGTGCCCAGGGGTGGCAGATGGGACGTAGGATTGGTTAGCTGTGGGGTTGGGTTAATGGGTAGTGTCTACATGGGCAGTGATTGGCAGGACTGAGGTCAGTGGTGGGTACATGGGGTGAGTGATTTGGGCATCTCTGTAGGAGTCATTAAGGAGGCTCTGTCTTCAGTGGCTGCAGGAGAAATTCATTATCTTGCCCAAGGTCATCATCTGGTGAGTGGCAGAGCTGCAGTTGGTCTCAAGAAGTCTTAACACAGTGTGACTTCAAGACATGAAAGCTGACTTAAGGAAGTAACAGCAAGACAAAGTCTGTGGGCCCTGGAAAATGATCTGGCAAATAAGAATGAGAAAGATAATGTAGAAATTGCCACTTCAGGTAAATTCAGTATTTAAACAGTCTGGTAGAATAACCTGATAGTACTTAGCCTGACAGATTATAGCAATGAACAGAGCCTGTGACCATGATCTCAGACTATTATCCTTCCTGCTGTTTCTGTTACCATGTAAATGTGAGAATAAATCACACCCAGATGGAGTTTCTGGGAGAGAGCTGGGACCACAGCAATGTGGTGCCATGGAATGATAATTTTTATATTGATGTGTAGGATGGACAAGAGGGAAAAGATACAAGAAACAGTTAATAGTTAGTACTAGTTAGTATTCTTCAGTATTCATTGCCATAGACTAATTAGTATTCTGCAGTAGTAATTGCTGTGGACTAGTTAGTATTCTGCAGTAGTTATTGGCATAGACTGAATCTTTGTGTCACCCCAAAATTCACACGTTGAAATCCTAACCCCTGCTGTGGTGGTATTTGGAGGTAGGGCCTTTGGGAGGTGATCAGGTCACGAGGGTGGAATCCTCATGAGTTGGATTAGTGCCCTTATCAACGAGACCCCAGAGCACCCTCAGCCTTTCTGCCACATTAGGACACAGACAGAAGGCGCCACCAATGAACCAGGAAGCAGCCCTCAGCAGACACCAGATCTGCCAACATCTTGGTCTTGGCCTTTCCAGCCACCAGAATTGTGAGAAATGAATGCCTGTTGTTGATCAGCCCCCCAGACTATGGTTTTCTGTTCCAACAGCCCACACAGAAAGAGGCAGTGATCCACAGTGGAGTGGTGAGGCATGACATTCTCCATCCAGCCCTTTCACTAGTCTGCCCCTCCACATCCGGGGCTGCCTGTTCCCTCCCACTCTCCCCTTCGGTCTCTCCCCATCAGAGCCTTGTCCCTTCTTGGTTCCTACTCCTTACATTTCTTTACCCTTTTCTCATAAGATGAAAGGTCATCTTCAAAACTCCCAAAATTGCTTACAATAACTCTCAGTATTCTCCTCTCTGTCCACATGACAGCAGTTTCCCCTTAAAACCCAAAAGGTAGAAAGTATTTACACTTTGGAATTTTTCATATTGAGAAGCAAAGGTATAATTAAATATGACAAATAGTACTTCTGAAGCAGTTTCATTCTATAAAATGATAGTAGAAGGATTCACTTGGAATTGTGCATTTTATTCCATTTTGAAGGAGTCTTACGAACCACTAGCTATATAAAGAAGCAACAGGAGACTCACATAAAACTTTGGAGAGAAGTTGCATTTGCTTAACAAGATGTAACTAAAGTGAAAGGCAATAATTGTAATAAATTAGGAAGAAATTTCCAAAGCCAAAAATATAATAAACATGAAAAAGCTGTAATAAATGTGTCAGAAAGTTCACACTGGTGAGAAAGCATAAAAATATAATTAATATACAAAGTCCCTCCTATACAAATCTCATCACATCAGACCACAGGGGAAACCACCTTGGGAATAGTTGGGTAAAGCTTATATCAAAATGTAATCTTACTCTTTTTTTAGAGAACTAAAACTGGAGAGAAAAACTGTAATTGTAATAAATTTGAAATAAGCCTTCAACCTAGAACTCCATTTTCCCTGCAACATATAATTCATACTAAAGAGGAACAATTCAAGGACAATGAATGTGAGAAAGCCTTAGGTATAGCTCAGCTCTTATTCAACCACACTGGCAAAGTGTCTTATAAATTCCACAAATTTGAAAAGAAACAAAAATTTTATTCAAGGGTAGAAACAAATTGATGGAACATCAAGGAATTCAAAACTATACATGCAAAAAATGGGAAAACCTTTAGGGAGATGTCAATCTCCACTGAACGCCAAGGAAATGATCAAAGGGAGAAATCACATGTAGACACTGAATGTGGAAAATCCCTTTTGTAGAAGTCAGAACTTTGTACTCATCAGAGAATTCAGAAAGGGGAGAACCCTCATGAATGTACTAGATATGATAACACCGTTAGTAACAGAGGATGTCCCACCATGCACAAGATGGTTCATGTTGTGGAGAAAACCTACAAGTGAACTAAATGTGAGAAATCCCATAAGAGGAAGTTAGAACTCACTGTGCATCAGTTGATTCCCATCAGATAGACAGGAATGAATGTGGGAAGTATGTAGAAGTCTTCCACGAAATCAGAAACCTCATGCTTGGGAGAAATCCTCTAAATGCAATCAATGTGGAAATGCCTTTACTAGAAAATCATTCTAAGTCAGAGTTCAGAGTGGGGAAAATCACACAATGTTTAAAAAAATATGGAAAAGTTTTCAACTAGAAGTTAAAATTCATTACACATCAGAGAATTCATACTGGGAGAAACACTGAGAAAACAGTAAATGCAGAGAAACCTTCATTTTGGAGGTCAGAGTTCACTGACTCTCAAACAGTTCCTACAGGAGAAGAACCCTATAAAAGCACTAATGTGGAAAAGCCTTCAGCAAGAAAACACACCTCATTATACATCAAAGAACCCACAGAGGAGAGAAGCCCTATGGAATAAGGAATTTTGGAATGCATTCAGCAGTAAATGAAACTTCATAATTCACACTTTGGGGAAATCCTAGGAATGCAACAATTGTGCAAAGGAGAATCTGTAATACAACAAAAATGTCCCAAGAATCCCTATTAATTTAAAAAATGTGGAAATACCTAGTGCCAAGGTCAAAACTTACTGTGCACCAAAGAATCTATCTAGCAGAGGGTCTCTGTGCTGTATAAAGTATGGTACACCCTCAAAATTACTTCCAGACATTACATAACAGGGAATTTATGCTGATTTTAAGAAACAATTTAACAAATTTAAATTCTACCTCAGGGAAACAAAATTCCAAAAGTAAAACCACACTTTTTGTGAAAAAGGTTAGTGACAAATGTCCATGCATGTGTAGTCCAAATGTCTTCCTACTCTGCCTCACACTCTCCTTTCAAGGGGACTTCCTAGTAAATATGGGGAACAAAAGTTGTTATAGTCACCCTAAGTTATCTGCTTGGAACTAATCCTCACTGTGGATACAACTCTGTCACTGCTCCCAACGTAGGGCTCCTGAACACAACTTCCCACAGGCATCACGGGGAGGCAAATGCCACCCTGTGCCTTTAGCTCACACCACTGACACCATACAAGTGCATCTGAGTTTCTAAAGGTCTGAGAGTAACGTGAAGGAGCACACATGGGGAAGGAAAGCAGCTGTGCTCTAAACAGTTCGGCGCTCCCCAATCCCGGGGGAAGACGGCAGTGTGAGGACATCGTGGGCACAGCCCAGCTCTGGGCTCAGTCTCCGGCCGCTGCTCGGGGACCTCACCTGGGCCTGTCCCTCCGTGCCAGCACAACCCCACCTGAGCCACGTTAGTGCGGAATGTAAACCCACAGGTCTCCTCTTGTTGAGACAAAGAGGAGTCTCCCTCCACTCCGGGCTCCTGCACGCTGCCCAGGCTGTGGTGCTCGACCAAGGGACGGAACTCACTCCCACTGGGCCGAGCCGGGGCGTCGTCGCGGCCGGGAGCCTCAGCCTGGAGGAATCAGTAGAGTCTCTCCAGAGGCGGAAGAGCCCTCTCAGTGCCAGTGTCCCCCGCGGGCAGCAAGCTGGGCTGCAGGGGTGTGATGCCGACACACAGGAAAGGGAGACCGACGGGGACGGCGCCGTGCCCTGCAAAGGCCGCCCAGTCTTCATGGACCCCCTGCCCTGACTGCTGCCGGCGGGCCTGGGCTCCTCGCCGCCTCCACCGCGAAGTGAGGGAAGAACAGAAACGAGGAGAGCCAGCAGCCAGTCCCATTCCTGCCCGCCTGCTACTTGGGGTTCTCTGTGCCCTCGCCCTTCGCAGGGGCCACCACCGTGGAGGTTGTCTTGAGGCTCCGCTTCCGCTTCTGCACGTTCTGCTCCGGATGGAACAGGATGACGTAGGTTTTGGGTACGTACAGCATGCCAAGGGACACCGATGCACTCAGGCTCAAGGACACAGTCAGTGTGGTTGTCTGGATGTAGATCTAAGCCGTGGAGAAGGGGTGGGTGGGACGCAGCCCTGTACTCTCCCTTCCCCACCCCGGCGTTCTTGCCACACAGATTGGAGGTGACTAGGAACAAGCGCTCAGAAAAGGACACCAGCCTGAGCAAAGGCATGGAGGCACGAGGAGCTGGCAGGCGTGGCGCGGCTCTGGTGTGGGCAGGAAGGAAAGTGAGTGACAAGTAACCAAGGAAAGGGGGGCTCATCCTCACCATGGATACCACTGGGGAAATGGTCCCTGTGTCTGAAAGGGGCTACAGCATGTTAGTGAGTGAATGAGCATGTTTTTAAACATGCAAATGATGAATGAACACAGATTGAATAAAGGAGCGAATGGGCAAACAATTGAAGACACAGGTGACTAAACAAATGTCCTGCTGTGTACATGAACACATGATCCCACACGTGGACTGACGGATTCATGGGTTAGCAGGTATAAAGTACATGAAGAAGTCAAATTTAAATAAACAAGAAGAGTGGACATTAGGAAGAGTGGTTAGAAGAGTGGATGGGAACAAATGAATGAATGAACAAAGCAAGAAGAGAATGACTGAATGAACAAGCAGGGGCACAGAGGATGAACAAAAGTGTGAATGAGTATTTAAGTATACAAATGAATCAACCAACCAAGCAACCATCCAAGTAACTGAGCGTGCAAATGGGTGGCCCCAGCTATTGGAACAATTGAGCCTTTCAATGGATAGGCAGGAAACGGCCCGGGTAGCAAGACATACTGTAGACCCAGTTACCTTTTCAGCTGACTGGGCAGTGCCGAAGAAGATGGGCACAAAAGCCAGCCAGATGATGCAGGTGGTGTACATGGTGAAGCCAATGGGCTTGGCCTCATTGAAGGTCTCGGGCACGCCACGGGCCTTGATGGCATACACAGTGCATGTGACCATAAGCAGGAGGCTGTAACCCAGGCAGCCGATGAGGGACAGATCCGACATGTCACACTTGAGCACCCCTCTGGCCTGCTCCGGGTCCACTGTCCGCTGCTCTTCGTAGTCAATGACACTGTGTGGGGGCTTGGCCCCCAGCCATGCTATCACCCCCACCACCTGCAGGAGCCAATGGTGTGTCAGAGACATGGCTCTTTCCAGGGACAAGCCCATCCTGGCCCCCCACCAAGTTAGGGTCCCCTGGGGCCTCCCAACCTGCTGCGAGGGATGCTCTGGCCTGAGAGGCACTGTGAAGAGAGGAGGGCAGAGCAGGAGGGGCCACCAGGGCAAAGGCCTGTAGTCAGGCAGGTGGGGAGAGGGGCTGCCATAGGGGTGTGGGGTTGATGGCAGCATCAGGGCAGGTTGGGTAAGGGGTAACTCTGTGTCCTCTTCCTGTATTTTAACCATCACCAGCCATTTATTGAGCTCCTTCAAAGTATGGTGGCTGCAGGTGGAAGCTCTGGAATCGTGGCCCTAAACACATCGTCCTCTGGCCTCTGTTTCTCCATCTACAGAATGGAAACCTTCCTATTCTGTTGTGAGGACACAATACTGTCTTGGGGGAGTAGCTGGTACAGGTGCCACTAAACGGGGCCAGGCCCAGAGAGATGTATGCCCCCCACAGTTCCAGGTCGGCACTATCCTCTCCCTCCTGCAGGTGTGAAAGCACAGTTTGATCACGTCTAGCGACACAGCAGAACTAGTTCCTGAGGACCCCTTCCTTCTCCAAATCCAGAGAATTGTTGAACTAAATAAAATGAAATATGTGTGACTGTATTACAGATGACAGGCAAGAGAAACAAAGGAGGCACCCGGTGGAGAGTAGGAAGAATGTGAGCTGATGCTGGGTGTCCTAAAGAGTGCCAGGGTCAAAACAGGCCTCGACAGGCGGAGAGGGAGTTTCAGTTCCCTCACACTGACAGAAGACAAGACCTTGAGCCAAGGGAAGCTGGGGAGCAGGAACTAAGACACTTGCATCATGGGAGACCCTGGAAGGGCTGCCCCGTACATGCATGCAGGCTGTTCACTGCGTAAGAGCGCCTGGCCAGAGGAGCAGACGGGGCCGGATCTGGCTGGCGCACCAGTGCCATGCTGTGCGCCAGGAGAGGGCTGTGTGGCCCTGCAGGAAGGAAGGCTGTGTGACATCTGTCCACCCAGGAGCAGCTTTGTGATTCTGCCACAGGCAGCAGATCCATGAACTAGAGACTAACAAAATAAAACCCCACCCACTGTCCAGGAAGACAGGGTGGAAATTCCTGCTGGAACCAGGCTCTAGTTGGGGAGAGAAAGTCGCTCATAAGAACTAACACCCAGGCCTGCGATGCACAGGAGCAGCACCTGAGTCGTTGCGACTCGTGTGGCTGACAGGGACTGCACGTGTCACACACGTGAGGGACTCCAACCAGACAGCAGAGAATGAGCAAAGGGCAGGGACAGGTGGATCACAGAAGAGGCAATCCCCATGGCCAGGTGCACAGGTATTAACTGTAGGCAAATTAATGCAACAGTGAGATGCCATTTCACATCCACCATGACGTGGTAATCATAGAAAATGCCTGGTGAAGTTGGCGGTTTGCCTCTTCATGAGCCCCGCTGTGTGTGGAAAGCAGGTGTGTGTGACGTGGGGTGCACACAGGCGCCGGGGAGGCGAGCCCCGGGGAGGGCGTGTTGAATGTGGTCTGAGCACCTCCCCAAGTGTATGGGGAGCCACAGCGTGTTTTAGGGAGGGAAGTGGCGGGCACCTTCTTAGGACACACCATGCACACGAGATTCTAGGCGTGACCAGGTGATGCTCAGGCCCTGTCGTCCGGAGGAGGACGGCGGCACCGTTCAGTGCCAGCAGCCGCGTGAGCCAAGGTCGCGGGGGGCCTGGCCGCGGTGTGGCAGGGCCAGGTAGAGAGGAGGGCGTTCCTGCAGTGGAGTGTGCCACCCTCCACCTGGCCCTCAGAATCCAGCTGGTCTGCAATGTCACACCAAGTTACCCTCCCGTGCCATCTGTGTCTTAGCGCCCTTTGCACAGAAAACCTCCAAGCTTCCCACTCTCTGGGAATCGTCCCCAATGCGGAAATGCTACTGTCTCAGGGAAAGCCCGGGCAGCTCTGTTTCCGATGCACATCGCGCCAGGCAACACTGGCATATAGTGCAAGAAGATGCTCTGCGCCCACAAAATACCGGGCCCTGTGCCTCTCATCCATGTCACCCAATAAACTGGGCAGCAGTCGCCTCCTTGCAGAAACTGAGGAGAACCAGTCAGAGCTCTCTGTCCTCCCCATGCGTGGCTCTTGTGCACAAGTGTCTGCTCATGAGAACAACTTCCTCGCTGCACAGAAAGACGGCGGGGTGCTCACGCTCCCACCTCATTGTCCCGTTCTCCCTCACAGTCTGAACGGGGGACTGCTGCTCCCAACCGAGCTTTCTCATCACAGCAGAGAGCAGGTTCTATCTCCCACGGCTGTTTCTTTGTTCACTTTAACACAGGAGCCAAAGCAGAAAAACGCAACTCTAGAAATAGCACTTTTCTGATTTAAAGTGGAAGACAGTGCCCCTGGCTGCCCCAGCCCCATGTGGCCGCCCTGGCCCTTGGAACCTAAGGACCCACCTGCAGGGAGGTGAGGCTGAAGGTGATGACCAGCTGTGACGTGGGGCTGATGAAGGGCGGGGGCGTGACGGAGCGCTTGCCCTGCTCAAAGATGCGGTAGATTCGGTTGGTCTTGGTCAGCAGGGCGGAGTAGCTGAGGGTGGTGCCCAGGCCCAGGAAGAGCCGGCGGGCAGCGCAGACTGCGTCCCCAGGCTCCGCCACCATGAGGAAGGTGATGGCGTAGATGAGAAAGATGCCGGTGAGGAGCACGTAGCTGAGCTCACGGCCAGAGGCCCGGACGATGGGTGTGTTGTTGTGCCTCACAAAGGTGGCCACCACCGTGGTGGTGGCCATGATGCCCAGCACGGCCAGGAGGAGGGGCGGGGCCGCCCACGGGGAGGACCAGGTCAGGCGGACCACAGGCGTGGGGCGGCAGCCTGTGTGGTTAGGTGTGGGCCTCATGTCCCCAGGACACGCCTCGCAGGTGAACTCGTCCACCTGGAAGCGGTACCCATCACAGGCCTCGCAGTGCCAACAACAAGGGACGCCCTTCACCATCTTCTTCCGCTCACCCGGCCCACAGGGGAGGCTGCACTGAGATGAGGGCACCTCACGGGAGTCGCTAGACCACTGCAGGGCTTCCACCTGGGACACATGGAACGCAGCTGGTGGCCTCTGCCTCCTGGGACCGTGGCCCGCCCCCCACACCTGGGGTCAGTCTGTGCACTCACGTCCAGCCTGAGGGCCTCTGCCCACTGGCCCACCGCCTGGTACCCGCCACTGCTGGCGCTGCCGTTGGGGGCCTGGTACTGGAAGATGTCGTACCGCCCGGGGGCATCTCCGTTCTCATTGAACATCACAGGGGTTCCCGCGCTGCCTGGAGAGAGAGCCTGTCATCCTCAGCTAGTTCTCTGGCCCATCAGAGCCAGCCTCCTGGGGAGGCCCCCGGGACCGCCGGCCAGGAGACAGGAACAGCCTCACAGGCCGGAGGACATGCTGCGCGCAAGGGAGGTGCGGGCCAGCTGCAGGCGTCACCGCTGGCTTGCACTGGGACGGCTACTACAAAAGGCAAATAACGAGTGCTGGTGCCCGGTGCAGACTGGAACCCTCGTGCACTGTCGGTGGGAATGAGAAAAGGTGCAGCTGCTACGGAACAATGTGGCAGTTCCTTGGAAAATTAAACGCACAATTACCACGTGGCTCCGCAATCTCCTCCTGGGCACACACCCGAAAGAACGGGAAGCAGGGTCTCAGAGACCTCCGCGCACGGCAGCACTGTGCGTGCCAGCCACAGCGAGAGCAGCCCCAGTGCCCGCTGGTGGACAGAGACACAGCATGACACGCCAGGCAGTGGACCATCGCTCACCGCAGAAGGAAATCCTGTCACACGCTACAACACGGATGAACCTGAGGACATCACGCTGAGTGAAATAAACCAGTTGCAAAAGAACACTGAGGAGTGGCCACGCTCAGAGACAGAAAGGAGACGCGGTGCAGGGCCCGGGAGGGGAGGTGTTAACGGCATGCGGTTTTGGTTTCACAGGATGAAAACAGGCCTGGAGAGGGGCGGTGGTGATGGTGATGGCACAGCATTATTGATGTATTTAATCCCACTGAACTGCACATTCCAAAGTGGTTATGATGGTGAATTTTATGTTCATGTGTGTTTTACCACAATTAAAAAAGAAAGTTTCACCATCCAGCCCAGGGGACGGGCTCAGACTTGGCCCGAGGTCTGCGTGATGGCACGAGTGGGCACCGATCTGAACGATCGGCTGTTTCTTTCAGAAGCTTGTTCTGCCGGCTGTGCAGCTGGCGTGGGGCAACACCAAGTTGAATTAATTAGCAGAGAGTATGGCAGAGAGAAAATGGTCAATATTTGGTGGAAGAACAGAGATTTTAATTTTATGAAGGATCTTAGTTGAACAAAAGCGTATCTCTCCCACAAACCATGGGCATAGCTTGAGTCTCTTTGGGTCTCTTCAAAGGACATAATTTTGAGCCAAGATCATGTGCCAGGCCCTGCGCTGGTACCCAGGGACACATCAGACTCATGCCTGTGCCTCATGCGTGACAGAGTGGGCAGTGATCCCCAGGCCGGCCCCCCTGCAGTCTTAGCTGTGCCCCACCCCCACCCAGAGTCCCGACACCTCTCAGTGCTGTGCAGGGGTGAGGAGAGCTGTGTGGGGTCCACAGGCTCCCCGGCAGAAGGGATTTCAGAGAAGTTCCCAACATCTGAAATCTGCAAATCGGGGTAGGATGCTGAAGCCCAGGGAGGGAGGCGTGTTAAAAAGTGAGGGCCAGAAGTTGGCTCAAGTCTCCAGCAGTTGGCCTCAGGTCCCCTAGACCATTCTGCCTCTCCCACCCCCTTCCATCCTGAGTCATCCCAGACCCCCAGAGAAGCCCACCCCGCCGACTTCCCTTCACTGCGGTTCGTGCACAGACATCCACTCACCATTGAAGCGCACGGCTCGAATATACTGCAGCAGCGTCCGCCCATCAGTGGGCTCCATCGCCGGGCACAGGCCCGTGTGGCCAGGACAGAGCGCCTGGTGCATGCTGTGGAGGGCGTGGGCAATGGCGTACACAGCATCAATCACAAACTGCACCTTGCCCTCCTGCTCGTAGGTGGAGTCCCGGCCGATGCGTTCCTCGCCTGCCCTAGGGATGCCCAGAGGAAGTGTGCCTGGCCCTATGCACCCGCCTGGGCTCCCGCCTTCTCCCTCACCACCCTGGGCAGCTCTCACCTGTGCACTTGCGGGTGGAATCATCCGACTGGGTACCTGAACTGGTCAGCTTGCAGTTAAAATTCTCTTCCCAGAACTCGGCAAACCAAATGTTCCTGCGGTTGTTCTCCAGGGAGCGAGTCATGAAGTACTGGTCAAACCCTAACAGGCAGGGAAGGAGAGAGAGTGGTGGCCATCTGAGCCAGCCATGGTTCTCCTGTAACCGTTCGCCACTTGTCCACTTTGCAGCTAAGAGTGGCCATGTGACCAAGTTCTGGCTGGTGAATTCAAAGCCAGCTGGGGGCTCCAGGGTAGAATTTGCATTCCAGTGCAAACTCAGAGCCTCACCATTTGAAAGACTTTTAACCCTGCTTTTTCTTTGCTGGTTAGGATGTTGCTGTGAAGATGTAACGTGTGGAGCTTCAGCAGCCATCTTGTGAATAAGAGGCCACAGCACAGAAATATGAAGCAACCACAGAGAATGTAGAACAGAAGAATGGACAGAACCCAGGGCTTTGAGAGCATCTGTGACTGACTGTCTCACACCTGGAGTTACCTCCTTTCAGACCTCTTGTCTTATGATGAAATGCCATTATTGCTAAAACCACTTTCAGTCCAGTTTGTCACTTGCAACTAAATGCATTCTAATTGAAGGAAAGGGTGTGACAGTATATACTCCAAAAGCCTAGTAGTCCCTGGGAATCAGGGGTCAGCCTTTACAAGGGTCTGCACTTCATAAAATAACCCTGAACATGTCAGCAAGGCGTCTTCAGCTCAGCCTTGTGGGAAGGGAGCAATGCTACTGCAGAGAGAACTGCGCCGCGGGCGCCATCCAGACCCTCACAGGCGCTGTGGGGGCCCTCACTGATCGGCAGGGCCGTGTGTTCCACGTCCTTCCTTTCTCTTCCTCCCACCCTCACCCTCACATTAGAGTGCCTTTGGTAGGACCAGAAATACCAGCACTAAATTAAAAACCAAAAACTAACAATCCTTCACCCCATACAGTGAGTGTGCCTCTCCTCATCCACCGTCTCATTCAGATGCCATCTGGAAGGCTGTATCCACAGATCTCGGAACCCTAGAAGGGGCCTGGATCATGGTTCCAAGGACACGGATGCGGAGAATGAGCGCTCACCATCGATGGAGGCCCTCTTGGGCAGGATGGTGATGGCCCCCACGGCCACGTCCTCCAGGCTCAGGATGGGCGAGGTCTTGGCTCCCCAGCTGTCTGAGCCGACCCACAGGAAGTGTCCTGTCAGGTTGGCCTGGCGTGCTGCCTCCAGGACCCGCCTGGCAGGGGCGGGCTGGGGTGAGTGAAGGCCCGGGGTCCCCCTCCGGCTCAGCCCTGCCCGGCCCGCTCAGCATCACTCGCCTGATCCTCATTCCTCAGTGACAAGAACAGCAGGGGTTTAAGGCGCTCTCCCTGGGCTTCCCTCCACCCCAGGCCTGCCCACTGCTCCACACTGGCCCTCACAGGGGCTACATAGGGCAAAACCCAGGCCAGGGAGAAGGCCGCCCAGCCCCGCACTCCTCCCCCAGTGTCACGCCCAGCCTGCAGGCTGGAAGGAGAGGTCACCAGCTGTCTACACTGCCCCTGTGGCGCCTTCTCCCACCTCATTTACACACTCAGATCCGCCCACAGGTCTCTCCCCGCTGTGAACTGCAAAGATCAACAAGCATTCTGGATATTTCCAAGGCGAGGCTTGGAGCATCTCTACCCAGACAAGGCCTGATTCATCACTGGGCACCAGACCCCGGGCAGCAGGAAAGCGGTGGGGAGGAGGAAAGCAGAAAGGGTGTGCCTGGCTGGGACAGGACCCTCAGGGAGAGCCTCCAAAGAACATGTGATTGAATGAATGTGCCACCATCCCACCTGATGTCATCCTCGTTGGCAAAGATGATGATACCCCGGGCGTTTGGTGTCTCCATGAGTCTCCTGATGACCTTGTTGAATTCTCCTGGCTTCGGTTCCCTGGGAATCTTGATGGACTGGGCAATACACACCCCCCCTGGGTGTTGGGGATGCCAAGGTCAGCTCTTGCCCCAACTGCCCACACACCCACCTGGCCACCACTGCATAAGCCTGTGTAGCACAGCTGAGGGGTCTGGGGGCTGAAATCTAACCTGGGTCCCCCTGCCTGGCCACAAGGCAAGCACTCCAAAGGAGGGGGCATCCACCCATGTGGAACACCATCCGGGCCCAGGAGGCCCGACATGGACCGATGCCCCATCTCTTGGCTTCCGCCCCATCACCAGCCTCTGGCTCCCACCTCTGTAGGTTCCTTGATGTTTTGGAGCCCCCAGCCCCCAGCTCACCAGCCTCTCGGGAGATTTGCACAAAGGCCTCAACCCCACTCTCGCCATAGTTGCCCTCTGAAGCCAGTGTAGACACGTAGTTCCATCCCAGCGCCCGCACGATGTCCACCATGGCCTGGGCCTGGTAGGAGTCTGGCGGCACTACCCGAGAGAAGAAGTCGTAGCGTGTGGAGTCGCTGAGCTCTGGGGCGGTGGAAGCATAGCTGATCTGGGGTATCTGCAGGCAGGAAGGACAGCTGGGTTGTGACAGAGGGTCAGGTACTCCAGGGAGAGAGGGTGGTGGGGACCCAGGACATGGATGGGACACAGAAGGTTTGGGGTAGGGAGCTGGGGGCCAGACCTGGACAAAGATGGGGCATGAAAGGTTCGGAGTGGGGACCTGGGCCCCAGCTGAGGCAGCCACAGGAAGGGGCCAGAAAAGGTCTGCATTTGTGAGTGGGTCTCTGAGTAGGAGAGGGGAGAGGGCAGGGCCACCATCTGTAGTCGTGCAAGCTGTGTTCTGAGCAAGGCACCCCAGCAAAGGGCTTGTAGCCGGTCCAGGTGCACCTGGCTGGGAAAAGGGCATCCTTGTCAGCCCAGAGGAAAGCACATTCTCCTAACTCACACCAAGGGTGGCTGGCGGAGGGGTGCGGCCCTGGGAGGATCAGAGCAGACGGGGCAGCTGGAGCCGGTGTTTGATTTAAGTCTGTGTCTGGCCTAACAGAAGGGCTTGCTGGAAACTGGGTTTCCGTGTGTGCGTTATGAGCAATTACGGCAGAGATTATGGCGCTGGTGGCAGAGGCCTGAGAGCATGGGGGGAGGGGCGGGGTGGGGGCGGGGCGCGGCGGGCAGCGCTCAGGGAAGCACTGGCGAGCCGGCGCGGGCCGGGGCGGAGGGGCCGGCGAGCCTGGGCTGTTGGGCGCGGGCGGGCGGGAGTGCGGCCGGCGCGGAGTCCCAGCCTCTCCCGCGCGACCTCGCCCGCCCGCGGAGGCTGGCTGGAAACGCCGAGCCTCAGGGCTGCGGCTGCGCACTGAAGGCCCGCTCTTCGGGGCTCCCGAAAGGCCGGGCGTGCGCGCTGTGCGCGCGTTCCGATCGTTTCTGTCTCGGCGCCGGCTGCTGGCGTCTGGAGACAGAGCTGCGGCGCCCCGTCCCGGCCTGGCGCCAGGGCCCCGCTCCCCTCCGCGCAGCCCGCGCCGCCCCGACGCCGGGCGGGAAGCCCGCACTCGGCCTAGAGGGGAGAGGAACCGGACGGGGCAGGGAGGGCACGGGCACGGCGGGGGGCACCCGGCAGCCGCACAGCCTCGACGGCGCCACGCTGCGGCGTGTCCGTGCGCGCCGCGCCGACACTGCCGCCCAGAGGAAGCGGTGGGGACTTGGGGCGCGCAGGTGACAGAGGGGCCCGGAGCTGCTCCTGGGAGAACGGGAGAAACCCAGGAGAAGGAAAGCCCTCCTCCGGGCGGAGGAGCAGAGGCTTCCTCCCTTCACAGACAGTCCCTGCTCCCGGAACCCCAGCAGGCCTGCCCCGCAGCCCCCAGCGAAGACCACTACAGAGAACCCCCAAACCGCGACACCAGGGCCCTCACCCCTGAGTCCCCGCGCGCCCAAGGAAGGGAAGCAAAGCCCACTGTCCCTTTGCACGGGCCCCTCAAGGGAGGTTTCAGGCAGACATTTTAAAAACGAATTTAAATGATCAACAAGGAGAGCAGTACTAGAACTTTCAGGCCTATCCACCTCCCGCCCCAGAGCAGCGGGGGCAGGAGCACCCCAGGGCTGTGCAGGGCGTGCCCAGACACGACACCTGAGCAGGCGGGCCAGTGGAGGCCGACGTCCAGGTGCCTCCTCTGGCCAGCCTGGCCCCGCGGCGCCCTCGTCAGCCCCTGACTCGCACCCAGGGGCTGGCGCGGCGGCGGGCGGGCAGATGAGGGGCCGGGGAGGCGGCGGGGCACGACCTGATCGCGGCCTCCGTCTGGCCTGGCGTGGTGTGAATTAGAGCGTGGAGGCGGGGGCTCTTCCGGAAGGGGGCAAAGGAAGAAGACATCGGCCACCCCAGGGCGAGGACAGGAGGGACGTGCTGGAAAGCGAAGCCGCCCCGCGACCCTCACCGCAAACAGGCGCAGTACGTTGGCGACCATGATGGAGACAGAGCTGGCCGAGGCGCCCACGACGGCCACGACGCGCTCGGGGGGCGCGGCGCGCAGAGGGGGGACGCCCCCAGGGCAGCGCAGGCCCACCTCGTCGCCGTCGCCGCGGCCGCGGATCAGCGCCTGGACGAAGCTCAGCGCCTGCTCCAGCGCGTACGTGTCCCGCGAGCAGGTGTCCAGCAGCCGCGCGCCAAGGCGCACGCCGGGCAGCAGCGCGGGGTCGGCGTTGACGCGGTCCAGGGCGTACAGCATGGCCTCGAGCCGGTGCACGCCCTGCTCCTTCTTCAGCGGCCCGCACGCCCGGCCCGCCGCGCCGCGCGCGTGCACCGGGAACAGGCCGCCCAGCGTGAGGCCGCCCGCCAGGCGCACCGAGCCCGCGGCGCGCGCCAGGCCCGCCTGAGCCAGCCATGCCAGCAGCGCCAGCAGCAGCGGCTCGCGGGCACGCCGGGGCCGCGCCATCGCTCGCGGGCTGCGGGAGGGCGACGGACGGCGGCGAGCGCTCTCCCGCACTCCTGAGCGCGGGCGCGGGCGCGGGCGCGGGCCAGGTCTCCACCCCGGCCCTGCTCGGACAGCCTGGCCCTCTTCCTCCGGAGCCGCCCCGGCGCACGCCCAGGCACACTCCGGAGCCACAGTCACCTGTACAGCCGCCGCCGTGGGGCCAGGACGAGTCTGTGACAGATGCCAACGGCCCTGAGCCAGAGGGGATTTAAGGATTCTGGGGAGGGATGAGAGGCCGCCCTGAGGGCGGAGGCCCCCCTGAGCACGAGGGCGGAGGCTCGGTTCTGCTCGCCGCCTTCCCTCCCTGTCTTCCTGAAGTCCCACCCAGACTCTCTCTGGTCTGTCTCTGTCTCTAGATCTCCTGTCTGTTTCTCTCTCTGTCCTGTCCCTCCTCTTCTCGGAGCTGTCTAGTCTTCTTACCTCTGTCTCTCCCTCCCTCCCTCTGTCTGGCCCTCTCTTTCCTGGCCACCAGCCCTCTTGAAGGTACTCCCCGGCCTTCTCCTTGCAAAACCCCAGGTAGACCAGGGAAGCAGGAGCGAGCAGACCTTTAAACATTAGGTGTACAACCACCCCGCAGATGCAGACCGGGAAATGGAGCCTGAAGGAGAGGACACACAGGGACACACAGTTGGTATGTGTCAGCACCAGGATTTGCACCCAGAATGGTGTAAAACCACCAGCCCACACTGCCTTGATGGAGGGAGGCACGGCCCAGTCCCATGCAGCTCAGCCCCCACCTCTTGCAAAGGAAGCTGGAACCCTAAGGAGTTGTCCTGGCGGTGTCCACAGCCTGCCCTGGCTCTGGAGCTGTGCCTCGCTTTCCTTGGGGGCCAAGGTGAGGGCCCTCACCCAGCTCTGAGGCCCCAGATTTGGCTCTGGCTGAGAGAGCAGAGGGCAAGCTGGAGACAGGTGGCGAGCTCCCAGCCACAGGGATTAGCAGGCTCCTGGTACAGGGGCCTGAGCCGGCTTGGGCTCCATTAGATGGGTGGATTAGGGTGGCCATGGGGATATGGGCAAGGCTGGCAGAGGGAACTAGTCACATGCCACCTTTCTCTCTGTCCCCACCACAGCCAATGGCGTGGTCTCCTTTCCCAGAACCACCTCTCCTGGGGGAGGCCAGTCCAGCTGTTTCCACGCATTTTACAAGTGGGAAGGGTGGGCCCTCAGCAGGCACAAGGCCGGAGCCCGCGGCTGCAAAGGTACCGCTCAAGGCTTTGGAGACAAAGCCACACAGCCCTGCACAGCCCTTCCCTGCTCCGGAGGGGCCAGGTGGGCTCCCGACTTAAATGGCCACAGCAGCCACTGGCACCTGACTGCAGCAGGGACCCTCAGGGAGCAGGAGCAGAAGCCGGGAGACCAGCAAGAGTCCCCCCCCACTCCCCCAAGGGTGTGGGAGGGAGGCCAGCCCACCTGTGCTCCTCCTTTCCGTCACTGGTCACATAGTGGCGGCTGGTGTTTATAAGTGCCTTCTCCACCACCCGTTCCACGTCCCTTTGGCTCTCAGCAAACGCCTCAGCTGGTGGTGGCTCCTTACCTGGTGGGGTTACCCAGACCTCCATTCCTGCAGGGGCTTGGCCTTTACCAGTCCTGCCTAGATGGTGGCAGTGGCTCCCATTGACTATAACCGCCAGGCACTCACAATGCTGGGCAGCCATCGCCAACGCAGGGTTCTGTTCAGTCAAACTAAAATCTGGCCTGAGAGAGCCTCTGTCCTCACATGCTTGTGTCCTGAAGTGTGGACTGTAACCTGACTTAGAAGGCAGGCAAACTGGAAACCTGATGTAGAAGTGGGCTTCTGTCACAACTGCCGAGTCTCACTCCGCCAGGCCCAGCAGCCAGGCTTAGCCACTCGTCGGTGGTCAAGATGTCGGGCCGCACCCAGTGGCTATTTCTGAACATCGCTTCCATTTTCTGTGTGTCACTTTCCTTTTTCTGTTCATAAATTTCCTCCAAACATACAACAGTGCTCGATTTCAGAATCCTTTTCTTTCCTTGCCCAATTAAACTCTGTTGAATTTCTAAAGTTTTTCTTTAAAAAATTCGAAAACATTTTCCTCACCCAAAAAGGAAACTCTGTACCTTTACGCAGTCACTCTCAAGCCCGTCCTCCACCCAGCCCCTGGCAATGCAGGGCTGCTTTCCTCTCTGAGGATTTACCTACTTTGAATATTTCATGTAAATGAAATCTTACAGTATCGCCTTTTGCATCTGGTTTCTTTCACTTACCATAATGTTTGAGGTTTATTCACATTATAGCATGTATCAGTACTTCATTCCTAATTTTATAATAAAATTCCATTGGGTGGCTATAGCACAATTTGTTTAGCTGGTGTCCATTGATGGACACTGGGCTGTTTCCAACTTTTGTATATTTGTGTATGAGTATTTGTTTGAGTACCTGTTTTAAATTGTCTTGGGTACTTACCTAGTTTGAGGGGTCAGGACACACCATCCCAAAATATGACCACAGGAGACCGGAAGATGCCATCCCAAAATATACCTCTTTGGCATATTTTGATCTGGTTAATCTGAGAAACTGTAGACAAAAGAGCACCTCTGAAAAACTGCCCTTTTGTAAAAGAAATTTACATCCATAAAGGAAATCTACATTAGTAAAAGTATCTATATCAGGAAGAGGGCTGCTCCCCAAAACACTTTTATTATCCGAGAAACTCTTTACTTCTAGACAAGACAACCTTTATTCCCCATGCATTTCCTCCCTTCACCCTCCCATAAATTATATGGCCCAGCACATTCTATAGTTATTCTTGAGAACTACAAATGAGAAAGTGGGGAAAACTGGGTCAGTCCAAGGCCATTCCGAAAACTGTCCTGTAACCAGCACTTATTTTCTACTTTTGTGATTATCACCTTTTTAGTGAATATGAAGTTATATCTCATTGTGGTTTTCATTTGCATTTCCCTAATGATTGATGATGTTGAACATTATTTCACGTGCTTTTGGCCATTTGTGTATCTTCTTTGAAGAAATGGGTATTCAAGTTCTTAGAGCCTTTTAAAATTGCATTGTCTTCTTGTTGAATGTTAAGAGTTATGTAGATATTCTGATACTGTATCCTTATTAGATATATGATTTGCAGATATTTTATCCCATTCAGTGAGTTGTCATTTCACTTTCTTGAGAATGTCTTTTGATGGACAAAAGTTTTCAGTTTGATGAAGTCCAAATCACATATTTGGCTTTCATTTGTTTGTACTTTTGATATCATATCTAAGAATCTATTGCCAAACCCAAGGCCATGAAGATTTACATCTACATTTTATTACAAGATTTCCATAGTTTTAGCTCTCACATTTAGGGCTTTGACCCACATTGAGTTAATGTCTGTGTATGATATGAGGGAGGCACCAGCCTCACCCTTCTGCATGTAGGTACCCAGCTGCACACGTGAGAGTCCTCTATGGTAGGTGATATTCGGTCAGAGACCGAAGGAAGAGTGTTCAAAAGCAATGTTGATGTCTATTAGGAAGAGGGGACAGCACTTGGAGATCCCAGGTACAGAAAAATGCCACAAAATAGCCTGAAAATGCTTGTGTTGCATAAAACTGCAGATAAAAAATAACCAGGCATATTGGAATAATAGGATTGGAACAGACTAGTCAAATCATAAGAAGGTTTAGAACCAGAACACTAATGAAAACCACAATGCTAACAAAAAATAATAGCAAAGTTAAGAGGGCATGATAAGATGTTAAATACATAAATGTCAAATGTTAAATACATATATATGTATCTATACATACATACTAGAGTAAATTGAGAACTTCACCTTTTAAGAGAGATGAAAGCACCTTGGAGAAAGAGAATATGATGAAGGGGGGGCTGATGCCACTCAGCAATGAGGACCATACAGAGAGCAGGCCGCCACCTGAGCTGGGAGGGATTATGGGAGCAGGAGGTCGGCTAGGCACAGGCCTGTTTGCTCACACTGTGCTGCTCTCAGCTGTGCTGGTTTCCCTGCATCCAGACCCTCTGAGTTCAAAGTATCAATGTGCTGGAGGAAAATCCCATATAAACCAAGAAACCCCCACATACTACCAAACTAATCACAATACAGAAATGTGTTGCAACGAAATGTATTTCTTCACAAAAAAATTCAGAATAGAAAACATGCAACCATGCATTTTAGAAGGCCAATACATGATACAAGAAATAAAGTTTACAGGCCAAATTAAGGAGCATAGATACAAAATTCCGAGTCCAATATTTGCAAGCTGAAATACACAAAAATGTCATAACCAAGTCTGGTTTATCCTAGAAATGCACTTTAGCCGATTAATGACTTAGAAAATCTATTAATGTAATTCACTACATTAACAGATTAAAAGAAAAAAATATGATTATCTAAATGGATGTAGAAAAGGCATTTGATAACATCTAATAGTAAATTCATGATTTTAAGTTTTTCAATCTAAGGATCTTCTTTAAACTGATAAAGTTATCTACTAAAAGCCTACAGAAAATATTGCACTCAGTGATGAGTTATGTGAAGTATTTATTTCCCTTAAAATCAGAACAAGACAGTAATTGCAATTACTACTCCCTCTAGGGGGCATTAGTCAGCTCAAGAAAAAAAAAGAACCACAATGGTTGATTTGGAAAATACATAGCTGGCATCATTTGGAGACAATAGGATTGGGATTGTCTACTTTATTAGTCAGGATTCTCCAGAGACACAGAGGGGAAAAAAAAAAAAATATATATATATATATATAAAGGCTGGGCGTGGTGGCTCACACCTGTAATCCTAGCACTCTGAGAGGCTGAGGTGGGCAGATTGTTTGAGCTCAAGTGTTCGAGACCAGCCTGAGCAAGAGCAAGACCCCATCTCTACTAAAAAAAGAAAAAAAAATAGAAAGAAATTAGCTAGAAAAAAAAAATATATATATATATTAGCCTGGCATGGTGGTGCATGCTTATAATAAGTCCCAGCTACTTGGGAGGCTGAGGCAGGAGGATTGCTTGAGCCCAGGAGTTTGAGGTCACTGTGAGCTAGGCTGATGCCATGGCACTCAC